TTTTTTTTTTCGGGCCGAATTTTTGAGTTTCGATATCTCAGCTCTGGAAGGGGCTAGAGCCTCCATTTTTGCACTCAGGTCTAAGTCTCATGGCCCTCTATCAGAATTTGGGAAGATTGGAGAAACTTAATTTTTCGCCCCAAAAAAAAAACGTAAGGGGTACCACTGTCGTTTTTTTTTCGGGCCGAATTTTTGAGTTTCGATATCTCAGCTCTGGAAGGGGCTAGAGCCTCCATTTTTGCACTCAGGTCTAAGTCTCATGGCCCTCTATCAGAATTTGGGAAGATTGGAGAAACTTAATTTTTCGCCCAAAAAAAAAAACGTAAGGGGTACCACTGTCGTTTTTTTTTCGGGCCGAATTTTTGAGTTTCGATATCTCAGCTCTGGAAGGGGCTAGAGCCTCCATTTTTGCACTCAGGTCTAAGTCTCATGGCCCTCTATCAGAATTTGGGAAGATTGGAGAAACTTAATTTTTCGCCCAAAAAAAAAAACGTAAGGGGTACCACTGTCGTTTTTTTTTCGGGCCGAATTTTTGAGTTTCGATATCTCAGCTCTGGAAGGGGCTAGAGCCTCCATTTTTGCACTCAGGTCTAAGTCTCATGGCCCTCTATCAGAATTTGGGAAGATTGGAGAAACTTAATTTTTCGCCCAAAAAAAAAACGTAAGGGGTACCACTGTCGTTTTTTTTTTCGGGCCGAATTTTTGAGTTTCGATATCTCAGCTCTGGAAGGGGCTAGAGCCTCCATTTTTGCACTCAGGTCTAAGTCTCATGGCCCTCTATCAGAATTTGGGAAGATTGGAGAAACTTAATTTTTCGCCCAAAAAAAAAAACGTAAGGGGTACCACTGTCGTTTTTTTTTCGGGCCGAATTTTTGAGTTTCGATATCTCAGCTCTGGAAGGGGCTAGAGCCTCCATTTTTGCACTCAGGTCTAAGTCTCATGGCCCTCTATCAGAATTTGGGAAGATTGGAGAAACTTAATTTTTCGCCCAAAAAAAAAACGTAAGGGGTACCACTGTCGTTTTTTTTTCGGGCCGAATTTTTGAGTTTCGATATCTCAGCTCTGGAAGGGGCTAGAGCCTCCATTTTTGCACTCAGGTCTAAGTCTCATGGCCCTCTATCAGAATTTGGGAAGATTGGAGAAACTTAATTTTTCGCCCAAAAAAAAAAAACGTAAGGGGTACCACTGTCGTTTTTTTTTCGGGCCGAATTTTTGAGTTTCGATATCTCAGCTCTGGAAGGGGCTAGAGCCTCCATTTTTGCACTCAGGTCTAAGTCTCATGGCCCTCTATCAGAATTTGGGAAGATTGGAGAAACTTAATTTTTCGCCCAAAAAAAAAAACGTAAGGGGTACCACTGTCGTTTTTTTTTCGGGCCGAATTTTTGAGTTTCGATATCTCAGCTCTGGAAGGGGCTAGAGCCTCCATTTTTGCACTCAGGTCTAAGTCTCATGGCCCTCTATCAGAATCCAGAGTTTGGGAAGATTGGAGAAACTTAATTTTTCGCCCAAAAAAAAAAAACGTAAGGGGTACCACTGTCGTTTTTTTTTTCGGGCCGAATTTTTGAGTTTCGATATCTCAGCTCTGGAAGGGGCTAGAGCCTCCATTTTTGCACTCAGGTCTAAGTCTCATGGCCCTCTATCAGAATTTGGGAAGATTGGAGAAACTTAATTTTTCGCCCAAAAAAAAAACGTAAGGGGTACCACTGTCGTTTTTTTTTTCGGGCCGAATTTTTGAGTTTCGATATCTCAGCTCTGGAAGGGGCTAGAGCCTCCATTTTTGCACTCAGGTCTAAGTCTCATGGCCCTCTATCAGAATTTGGGAAGATTGGAGAAACTTAATTTTTCGCCCAAAAAAAAAAACGTAAGGGGTACCACTGTTTTTTTTTTTCGGGCCGAATTTTTGAGTTTCGATATCTCAGCTCTGGAAGGGGCTAGAGCCTCCATTTTTGCACTCAGGTCTAAGTCTCATGGCCCTCTATCAGAATTTGGGAAGATTGGAGAAACTTAATTTTTCGCCCAAAAAAAAAACGTAAGGGGTACCACTGTCGTTTTTTTTTTTTCGGGCCGAATTTTTGAGTTTCGATATCTCAGCTCTGGAAGGGGCTAGAGCCTCCATTTTTGCACTCAGGTCTAAGTCTCATGGCCCTCTATCAGAATTTGGGAAGATTGGAGAAACTTAATTTTTCGCCCAAAAAAAAAAACGTAAGGGGTACCACTGTCGTTTTTTTTTCGGGCCGAATTTTTGAGTTTCGATATCTCAGCTCTGGAAGGGGCTAGAGCCTCCATTTTTGCACTCAGGTCTAAGTCTCATGGCCCTCTATCAGAATTTGGGAAGATTGGAGAAACTTAATTTTTCGCCCAAAAAAAAAACACGTAAGGGGTACCACTGTCGTTTTTTTTTCGGGTCGAAATTTTGAGTTTCGATATCTCAGCTCTGGAAGGTTCTAAAGCCTCCATTTTTTCACTCAGGTCTAAGTCTCATGGCCTTCTATCAGAATCAAGAGTTTCAAAAAAATCAGAGAAACTCAAAATTTCGACCCGAAAAAAAAACGACAGTGGTACCCCTTTCGTTTTTTTTTTCGGGTCGAAATTTTGAGCTTTGATATCTCAGCTCTGGAAGGGTCTAGAGCCTCCATTTTTGCAATCAGGTCTAAGTCTCATGGCCCTCTATCAGAATCCAGAGTTTCAAGAAGATCAGAGAAACTCAAAATTTCGACCCGAAAAAAAAAACGACAGTGGTACCCCTTTCGTTTTTTTTTTTCTGGTCGAAATTTTGAGTTTCGATATCTCAGCTCTGGAAGGGTCTAAACCATTCATCAGAAAACACACACAAATACATTTATACAATGTGTACAGGATACATGTTTCAATCCCCCCCCCACCCCCCACACACACATATATATAAATTATATTTAATATATATTTTCAATAAGATAATATTTATATAATATATAAAATATAGATCAGGTTACCATAAGTTAACTAACAACGTTAGTGAAGTGTCGGTCATGTAAGCTATCGCTGCAATTAACCTATATTATCTTCCAATAAACATTTAGTAGATCTGGCTACATAACATATAACTACAGACTAGATTCACAAGAGGTCGGCAAATGTGTGTAAAAGTAAAAAATACAGTAATTTCATTAATTTACCAGCGAGCGTACTTCGGAAACACTGAAAATGAATGGGGTTCAATGCTGGAAGTATCAGTGTTTGGAACTAATGGGCGGGTCCACGACACGCGTCACTTCCGCATTCCTGAGTTACAATGGCGGTCTATGGGACTGTCGGAACTCTCTCAATACATGGCTCTCTGGCTCTGCATATAGAGATATAAGCCCATCTAGAGTCATGAAATATCATGTTATACTATTTATTTTCCACAAGAGGTCAGCAAAGACTCCCGGTGTAAGATATTTAGAGCTGAATTAAAAGGGTTATGCACATAGACTGTAAAAAAATATGGACGTAGTGTCCGTGACGCCACCCATAGGTTTCTGAAGAGCGTTTTTGAGGCCTAAAGTGGGCGTGGCCGGCCGTCGCCATCTTGGCAGTGCGTCACCTCTCGTCACTACCGGATAAATTAAAATGGGCAAAGAGGCGTGACGCGGGTGGAACTGAGGTGCTATGCTACTGCTCTACTCCCTCGCGCTGAATTGACAGCTGATTGAAAAAGTAAAGCCAATGGTTAAAGTTCATGTTTTGCCCTTCGAAATATTATAATAGTTAAGACGTAACTAAAAGTGAGACTATTTACTTTCCTTTTTTATCAACTTTATTAATCTCACAAGGGGCATGTATACAAGTACATAACACAGATCACACACATTTCTCACAACATACAGTCAACTATCGCATCGTGATGCATTATTATTCTGATAGTTAAAAATGTATTAATTACTTACAATTGCTCTAAGCTTGTGCATGTGACAGTGATTCTTCAAGGCAAGCACACGTCGGCATCTCACGTCAAGTTCGTAAAGAGCTTTAATTCAGTCCATTTTACAGTCTGATTTTGGCCGCCTCTCAATTTCTCAGATGGGTCAAACCAAAGATATTACCTCAGAACTTCAAGTAAATGAACTAGAAATCCGCGCTCATTCAAGGGTGTGCATCTATTGCATGGACGGAGAGAAAGCAATGAAATCATCCGACATCCATTAGTGCATGCGAGGGAAACAGCTGGAATTACTGAGCTGGTCATTCTCTCCTCCATACTCGACACGACGGAATCTGACGGCGAGCACGGGCGAAGGTATAATACATGTATTAAATTGTATGAAATAATCCCGGAAAAGCACAAACACAGCTGAGGGTGACGCTAACAGACAGCAGACAAACGACTAGCAGTGAAAGCAGCGGCACCTGTCACTCAAGTGGCCACGCCCTTAATTATGCAGAACGTTAAGGCTTAAATATAATTTAAACAGATGAGTTGTAAAAAAATTCACCCCCCTCACAGTTGTCATGAAGGGAAAAATGAGCTCTATAGGCCAAAGCCACTTTTTGCTCCAGGCTGTAAACATGTTTTTTTCTGCTGTAAAGTTGGGCATTTTAACATGGGGGAGATACAGATTTGACTCGCTTCTGCAGCCTGCCTCAAGCGGCCACTTGCAGTTTAATTCACTTCCGTGTTGGCTTCAAGAGAGAGACGGGGAGGTTGCCGCTTGGGGGTTATGCATGAAATTATGACATTTTGAATTTAAGTTTGTGAGGAATGTGTGCTTAAATTACTATTTAGTGATGAAATGTAGCAATTTAAAGGTAAATAAAAAATCTCCACAAAAATTGCGCTAAAAATATCAAAATGAAATGAAACAATTCCGTACAAAAAAATAAATATATAATTTTAGGGCTTGGGGTCATTTTGACGCGTGAGTGAAGGATGATGAAACTAAAGCGTGGATAAAGAGAGCGAATCGTGCGACTGCTAGTCATCAGCGAAACTAATGACGGAGGAACATATGAAGTCTAATAATCCAGGGAGAAGAAACAGAGAGGGGGAAAACAAATCATTTTATTTAAGAAACAAAAAGTGTGTACATAGAAGTGCAAGAATAATCAATCACTTAAAAACTATTGCTGAATATGAAACGAGTGTGGAGCCAAAAGATCTGCTGAGGGACGACTAAAACGATGATGAACGTCACTTCATCACTGTCTCACTCTTCAACATCTCACACACACACACACGCGCTGTGCTCGTGAGAGTCGACCGCCGCTGATGAATCACAGATACGGACACGTGTCACACGCCTCGCCTGTGACAGTAATTCACTACAGTTCACAGAGGGAAAGAGGATAGAGCCCCAATAAAGCCCGAATGGTCCCACTTTAACAGGTTCCCCGCGCCGGGCGCCTCGCTCTCGGAGACGGCAGTCTGAGGAAGAGGAATGTACCGGGGGAAAGCTTCCCTTTGACCTGTTCATCTCGCAGAGGCCAAGCGAAGCTAAACGAATGTCCCTTGATTGACCCAGCAGGACCCGAGCGCAGTGTGGCCCCGTCGGGTGGATCGTGGTGGTCAGAGCGTCTCTGCTGGAGGGTCACTGGTTGGGTTTGGTCCCGCTGTCCTTTTCTTCGCCTGCTAACGACACACAGATGATGAGCAGATCCCGTGGCCAACGTTTAAAACGCTTAGACTGTCGCTGCGTCCGAAACACTTTCCTACTTAATAGTGTTTGAAAAACAGAAGGTGAAAAGTACATGGATAACCTACTACTCCTGCCAATAGAGCGCATTGGATTGACACTTACTGTCCCATGACGCCATAGGAGAGGGTATATGAAGTGACGCTGAGAGGTCATGTGACAATATGAACGTTTAGCCCTGGAAACCCTTAAAACAGCCTAACGGGGCACTTTATAGGAGTAGTTCACTTCAGAATTAAAATTACCATCAGGAAATGTTAATTCTGAAGTGAACTACTACAAATGGGCTGAAACCACCTCATTCAGACGGTGCTTTGGTGCGGATCAAGCCTAAACGAACAGAACTGAGGGAGAAGAGACGGGAGTTCCTGAAACAAACACTCTGGCTGTGAAACGCCCTCACACTGATACCCCTCAGGTGCTCTTCGGTCATTTTTGACCGAAAAAATTTGTTTTGATATTTCAAAATCGCAGCTTCATCGGAATGTTACGAAACTTGGTGACTTTTATGGCATTATGTATGTGAATACAAAAAAAAATTGAGGTCATGATCCGAGCATGCTAAGTGGTCGTAAAAAAAAATAGTCACACTTGTGGTCTTCGGTCAAAAATGACCGACCATAGGAAATGAATGGGAAATTGACAAAAAAATAAATAAAATTCTCTGAATTTTTGTCCGTGCAATCTACAAATTGGCCACAATTCTAAAAAAAAAAGTACATCGCAGGAAAGGGGTGACACTCTACAACATCTAGAGTGCAAAACAGACACACCCACCCACACACACACATACAAACACACTTTTATACACATACACACCAATAAATTTTGATTACAAAAAGTATGTTTTGAATTTTTAAAAATCACAACTTCATCATAATGTTACGAGACTTTTATGGCATTATGTATGTGAAGACAAAAAAAAATTGAGGTCATGATCTGAGCATGCTAAGTGGTCTTAAAAAAAAAAATAGTGACACTTGTGGTCTTTGGTCAAAAATGACCCCCATAGGAAATGAATGGGAAATTGACAAAAACACAAAAATTCACAAATATGTAATATATATATATATATTTACATATTTTTAATAAAAAATCGTTTTTGAGATTGTTTCAACTATATATTCAAATCCACACACACACACAAAAAAAAAATGTGTTCATAAACATCTGGGGAATTCACGTGCTTCTCCATAGAGAGCTGTACATTACACCATGATTCTACGCTTTTTCTCTATACTGTAACCAGATGGTGCTAATTTTCTTCAAAAAATATTTTTTTTCTGAAGGCCTAGACTCTATATTAAACTAAAATACTGCATTAATAATTTTTTGAAAAAGATAATATACATATATAAATATATATATTTTTCCATGGCAAAAATAAACCATAAATATTGCATAAATATTAATAAATTCAATCAAATTGTCTCAAAATACTAAATTAAAAAGAATAAATATTATAGAACAAAAATAAATTGCATTGGTTGTACTGGGATGGAGAAAGTTTCATTTTTAGGTGTCCGGTCACTTTTGACCGGGAAGATAACAAGTGTGACTCCGAAACGAAGAGCACCTGAGGGTTAAACAGCGATCGGGATAACTAGACCTGGAGCCCTCGCTCACATGACCTGCGGGACTGATCTGGGGTCAGACTGAAGCAGGAGTACTGGAGGCTCTTACCGGCGGTGTTGCTGGCGTGAGCGTGTGTGTTCTGCTGCTGCCTGTGAGGAGACACACATCATCACTAACTCTGATCACGCTCACATCAACACGAGTGTGTGTGCGTGTGTGTGCGCTCACCTGTCGAAGTACACCTGTCTCCTCCTGCGCAGCTCCTCAGCCGAGAGCGTCTCCTTCTCAACGCCTCCCGATTCATGAGACGAGCCCGCCGTCACACCCGCCCCGGGGCTTCTGGGATCAACGCCGCCTGTCCATTACAGCACCAGCGAAACACAACTCACAGTTCTTATCGGTTCATGATTAGTGCACATCAGTATTGGGTTAACCTCCTCTTGCAGCATCTAGGTCAACATGATCTGTGTGTGTGTGTCTCACCCTGCATGCTGAGCTGGATGGCCCTGCGCAGGTCGGCCTCCTCGTCCTCCACCTCCATGTGTTGTCTACTGAGAGCCAGAGCCTTCCTCAGCTCCTCCTCATCCTCGTCCAGCGGCGCTTCTTCCCCGGTGGTGTGTGTGGTGTCTGACACCTGCGGCACCGTCAGCCTGATCCACAGCACACACACACATCAGTGATCCACGCTACACTTTATTAAAACACTTTACACTTTATTATATCTACACTTTAATTTATTATTAAAGTGCCCCATTAAAGACTCTTAATGTTGTTTTTAATGTCTCCTACAGCAGGTTAAACGCATCAAAGGTCAAACACACTTTAATTTCCTCATAATCTCCACTGGAGCATTATTCAATCTCTCAGTGACGCTTCAATCAAGGATTCAGTCTCTCTAAGCCCCGCCTCTCTGAGAGCTGCTCTGCTGTGATTGGTCAGAAACGCTCATTATCATATCTGAATCTCAGCTCTTGATCACAGTGATACGAACAGTGACGATGGCGTGAGTTTCACCGAATCAATCTCAGAAAACAGCGTCTCCTCGACACTCTCCCCGTCTCAGATACACTACAGTGTTTGAGGGCGGAGCCAAGAGACACCGCTCAGCCAATCAAGACCACAGGCTGGCATTATGCAAATTAGTTACGCACGTACGCAGATTCATCTGGAAGTGAGGCTGAATCACTGACGACTCGTTTCAGTTCAGAATCACTTCTTATCTGCACTTTGATTTGCTGCGCTTTTACATTCACAAACGGCTCCATGACACACTGCAGGAAAGGGAATCTCTGAAAAAGCACAATAGGGGCGCTTTAACACCGGTGGCCGGGTCTTTGCCTCCACGTCATGCATTGAAATCATTTGATTATGCATTTGCATTTAATTAAGCATTTGATCCTTATGCTATGATGAAATGATGCTGTTTGTTTTGGGTGTTGAATAACACTACATGCACATTCATCACCAATAAGGAATAAATAGTTGACTTTTTTCCACAAAATATCCCATTTTAAATGATCTGGACCCTTGAGTTGCAAACAGTTTGTTGTTTGGATTTTACAGATGAGCACTTTGTTTATCCATAATGTGTTTACACTGCAGCAGGTCTTGATGCCCAATTCTGATTGGGTGCCTATATCTGATTTTTTTGTTGACCGTCCGATTACACGTCCTTTCAATTGTGAGTGTGGCTCATATCTGATTAATGTGATTACACTTGACATACTAGCTTAAAGGGGGTTAAAGGGACGAACAGATGGACGAACGTGAAATATGCTTGATGCTAGCTCTGCGATATATGTGAAATTCGCCAACATCTCCATAATGAAACTAAGAGTGCCATCATTGTTGAGTTGCTCTCGCCATTAAGGAGTAGTTCACTTTTAAAAAAAACTTTTGCTTTACTCCCCCGTGTCATCCAAGATGTCCATGTCTTTCTTTCTTCAGTGGAAAAGAAATGAAGGTTTTTGATGAAAACATTCCAGGATTTTCTCCATATAATGGACTTCAATGGGGACCAAACGGTTCGAGGTCCAAAAGACAGTTTCACTGCAAACTGTTCAAAGGGCTTTAAACGATTCCAGATGATGAATAAGGGTCTTATCAAGCGAAACGATCACTAATTTAATAAATAAATAACAAAGTTTAAGTTTTATAAGCTCAAATGCTCGCCTTGCTCTGTTCTGTGACGCGCGTTCGTGACTCTCCTGTTCGAACTCGATCATCAAAATTAACAAATCTTTTTCCGAGTCAATTCATTAATTTCGTTCGTTGAATGAATCAAATGACACAAAAAAAGATTTGTTCATTTTGATAATCGAGTTGGAACAGGAGAGTCACGAACGCGCGTCACAGAATCACACGCAAGGCGAGCATTTGAGCTTATAAAACTTAAACTTTGTTATTTATTTATTAAATTAGTGATCCTTTCGCTTGATAAGACCCTTATTCATCGTCTGGAATCGTTTAAAGCCGTTTGAACAGTTTGCACTGAAACTGTCTTTTGGACCTTGAACCGTTTGGTTCCCATTGAAGTCCATTATATGGAGAAAATCCTGGAATGTTTTCATCAAAAACCTTAATTTCTTTTCCACTGAAGAAAGAAAGACGTGGACATCTTGGATGACATGGGGGTGAGTAAATTATCAGCAAAAGTTTTTTGAAAAGTGAACTAATCCTTTAAATCGGGGTACTTTGCCAAATGCCATCGTTAACATGACAGACACACTGCACATATCTGATTAATTTCCACATATGAACGAGGCCTGAAAACCGATCTCGAAATATCCGAATGCATGCGTTTTTTTTTCCTGTTTACACGGTGATAGCAAAAAATAGGAATTGGGTCACATTTCACAGACAGTGTAAACGAGGCCTATTTGTCATGTGATGAGCGTTGACGCACCTCTGGGCCTCGTCTTCACCAATCAGCTTCGGCCGCTGCTGCTGCTCCACTCGCATGATCCGCAAAATCTGATCCGCTTCACAATCCGGCAGGTTTCCCCGGATCACAAATATGGAATAACCTGGAATATGGGACGCATTATACGTGTGGACGTATGATAAGAGCTCATGTGACGCACGGCCATGTACGAGCTTTACCTTCTTGCTGCAGCTGCGCTAGGAAAAGGGCCAGGTATGTGTCCGATATGAGCTCCGGTCCGGTCAACAGCGAGTTCAGATTAAACCACTAGATCAAGAGAGAGGAACTCAACATCATCTCACACAGCTGCCGCTCAGTACACACACACAGCGATCGTGGTGAAATCATGTGGATACATCTGTGTATTCTCCAGCCAAACGACAGGTGTGTGTGTGTAGGAAAACATTCGTATTTTGTCATACGAGGAATCACAAGGTGGTCGTTAGTTCTCGCACAGACGTTCTGTTTAAGTCAAGCTGAATCGGTTTACATTCTTAAGACATGATTTATAGCTAAAAGAGTTTCATAATTGATTTATTTTCTAGCACACGTATCGTTTGGCTTCAGAAGACAGATTCATCCGCTGGAATCACCATTTGTGTGGTTTTTCAAGTGTCAAATGAGCGGTTCACTTGCATTATATAGACTCACAGTTATGGATTATTTTCCAGACAATCTTTGTTTGTGTTAATCTGAAGAAAGAAAGTCATATACCGTACACTGTGAATGACATGAGGCGGGTAAATGATGTGAGAGCTTTCAGTTTTTGGGTGAACTATTCATTTAAAGGATTATGAAAATGTCCTGATGATTTACTCTCCCCACGTCATCCGAGATGTTCATGTGTTTCTTTCTTCAGAGGGAAAGAGATGAAGGTTTTTGAGGAACACACTCCAGGATTTCTCCATATAGTGTCTTCAATGGGGTCCAACGGGTCGAAGGTCAGATGTGAGTTTCAAATTTCGACACGATCCAGCCGAGGAATAAGAGTCTGATCTAGACAAACCAGCGACATTTACACAAAAAACACATTTATATACTTTAAACCACTAATGCTGGTCTTGCTCTCGCTGTGATGCGACACACATTACGAAATCAGGGTGAAGGTCAAGCGTGTTCTGGTTCGGAAATGTAGAGTGAAAAACTCGTTTCTCCTCCGACTTCAAAATCGTCCGACATCGTTGTTTTACCTTTTATTTATTAATTTGTAAATGGTGTTTGATTTAGTCTCTTTGTAAACACTGGGTCTGTTCTTATGCCTACGTCACGCTTGACCTTTCACCCTGATCACGTAATGTGTGTCGCATCACAGCGAGAGCAAGACCAGCATTAGTGGTTAAAGTATATAAATGTGTGTTTTGTTGTAAATGTCGCTGGTTTGTCTAGATCAGACTCTTATTCCTCGGCTGGATCGTGTCGAGACTTTGAAACTCACATCTGACCTTCGACCCGTTGGACCCATTGAGAAATCTCCACACTATATGGAGAAATCCTGGAGTGTGTTCCTCAAAAACCTTCATTTCCTCTGAAGAAAGAAACATGAACATCTCGGATGACGTGCGGGAGAGTAAACTATCAGGACATTTTAATACTGAAGTGAATGAATCCATTAAGTCAAGTCACCTTAATTTATACAGCGCTTTTAACAATATAGATTGTTTCAAAGCAGCTTTACAGAGATAATAGGAAATTAAAGTAACCTTAAGGTCACAATAATTGTAGTACAACATGGCGTATGCCGATTTTAATCACAATAAACGATAAATCTACTCCACTGTGCATGATTGGAGTGCATGAATACGACGCATGGTCAAATTTTTTTTAAATGGATTAAATTTGGGGTGTTAACAAAAAAATGAAAAGATAAAGATTAAAAAACCGGCAAACAAATCCATGTGTGCTGGAAGAGTTTGTCCAGAAGAGCCTTGTGCTAAAGCGGTAAAAATAACACAATTCTTGCATGTTGCATGTAAACACGAGGGTTTGTTCGTGTCCTGTAAACATTTCACTGTAATTAGGTCCTGATTGGAAATAGTCAGATTATGGGTGCACATGCAAACGCAGTGCTTGTGTTGGACTAATGCTGCGAGCGACACACATACCTGCTGTCCCAGCTTACGCACCGTAAACCAGTGCTCCTTATAGTTGCATATAAAGGCCTCTCGTGGTGTCTGGAAGCAAACATGAAGAGGATGAGCGTCACACAGTGGATAACAGAACGGATGCGGACCCCGGTCAGAGAGACTTACATGGGGTCGATCTGTAACTGCTGGTCTCTCTGCTGTTGAAGAGAACGATCTCCAACCCCAGACCCCCAGCGCGTTACTGATGACCTGCAAAACACAGCGCACCTGCACTCAGCAAGGGCTCATGGGACGTCTACACCTGAGGACTGTGCACGAGGACAAGGGAAGGGTTCACAATTCAAACATTGGAAATATTCCTAAGGCGTTCTGACCCAGAGAGAGCCGTGGTCATGTATGAGTCTTTGAGTCTTTTCAACAACAGTTTCATTATTTCTGTCTTATAATAATTCAGATTATCAAATAAGTACGGGGATAAACATTATAGTTCAGAATAAACACTGATGTCTACAGTAGCGATCAAAACAAAGTAAAACACCTTTTTAAAAGTAACTTTACACTGTAATTACATCAAGTGACTGTTAATATGATGTATTTGTCATCGAATCATTCATTCCAAAAGATTCGTTAAAAAAGGCTGATTCATCCTGTAATGAAGCAAGTGAAGTCTTAATGAGTGAGTCATTGAAT